ACGTAAAACCGCCATTTCTCCGCCAATATTTAGCCTTTTTCAAATTTTTTTTTTCAGAAATTAGAGATTATTCTTCGACCACTATTTTGACCCAAAAATTTGAAGAAAATTGCCGACCCGAAGGTATACTGTAACCTTAATAGATCATCACTCTCATTAAAATGTAGAGTACTTTCAATTTGAACACTTTTTCAAAATTTTGAAAACAGTTTGATAGTGTTTTGAAACTTTGACCACTGGAACTTGGTAATGCACTCAGTTTTCTTTCTAAGTTTAATTGCATTGATTCAATAGGACACTCATAAATTTCATGATAAGGGACACTCAAAAATTGCTTTGCAATTTAATATATTACGATATTAAGCTAAAATATGTAAACCAATGTGTGCTACATTCCAAACGTGATTAATCCAAATGAATATTGCTTGAAAATTTTGGGTAAAATTCTTAGGAAGAAACTCGTTTTCGGGGTCGCCAGTGAGACAATCAACGCAACTTTTATGTTGTCCGGCAAGACATAACTTCAAGAGGTAAATTTTGGTGATACTTTCAGTGTTTATCTGTCGGTCAATGTACTAATAGTATTGGGTTAACCTACTTTTGGGAGAGTTTTAAAAGACTTATTGGAATCAAACAATCAAAATTGTTTTATATCACTTGCCACGAACCATAGTCCTCATTGTTTAAGACCCTGGTATTGGCTTTTTGGTAGCAAAGTCTTGCCAATTTCCAGTTTTTCCAGTAACTAATGATATTGTAAATATGCGAAGTCTCAATCTCCACTTTGTGAGCTACAGGTAAGTCTGGATAGTTTGTCACCTGTCGAACGCATAGCTACAAAGGATTTTCCGTTTCGATCGCATTTCCGATTACGAAATACTGAAAATGTAGATAATATTGGCGAGGGAAAATACGCAAAAATCCACGGAAGTATAGTAGCCAACGAAGTTTGAAAACAATATCTGAATACGAGAATTTATGGAAAGTGAGAGACTCAGACAATTGTTTTAACAATTAACGAAGGAAATTTTCATTTAGTGAGGTTGATTTTCATCCCAATTTAATGTGAGTAATGTTCTAATTTTTTTGCAAAAATGTACAATAACGCAATTATTAGGTTATACGTGATATTCAGAATAATCAACGTCGGTAAG